TTACGGAGAATTGATTATAGATATATCAGTAAAAAAAAGGGAAAGAAACAAATCGCGTTTACTAACAGTTTATCCCAAATTTACCTTCAATATTGCATAATTAAATATCAACTACGTTAATATCGCGCTTTCTTGCTGACGGGAAAATTGCCACGTCTCCATATCGTCGTTTTATCTTCGAGGCTACGTTTTGCAATGCATATCGAAGGTAACACGCGTGTCTTTTTGCATGTGAAAGCGGTTTTGTGAAAAAAAAAAAATATTCTAAGCAAGTTCACATTACAAACATAAATGTCGCGAGAAACACCAGCAAAAGATGTTTGTGGCTTACACTATCGTCAGGATATTTACAAACATAATCACGCTCTTTATATTTATATTCGCGTGCGAGTAACCCTTTCCGTTCCGACGAGAACATGTACAATTTAGCATAACAATTCCGTATATACTTTGTTCCCGTACGATCTTCTCGTTTCACGCCATCTCGTCGTCGTGGCATCGAGGAAATTGCCAATCATTCAAATAGAAAAGAAATAAAGACTAAATAAATCTTTCGCGTTCGAGAAAATATGCGTTCTCGTTTCCGTTTGCCGCGTAGACGATGTCCAGGACGTATTTCTTGGAAAGCGAGCATCGCTCTTTGCAGGTCGAGTCTCTTACTCGTGCAGATGATTCATTCCCGAGGACCACCGAAGACGAAAGCGACGGAACTGAGGTTAGCTCGACCGAATGACCGAGGCGGAATCCGCGAGGCGCGTATCATCCATTTTCCTTCCATTACGTACCTGTGAGCAGCGGCTGAACAATGCCGTTTTGCCACGAGTTGCAGCATGTTTCATCGACGTCGTCCGTTGACATTTCGAAATGTATCAAACCCCACCGTCAGATATCTGCAGTTAAACAATATCCTACCATTTATCAATTTATTAACAGTAAAAACAAACTAATAATTAGTATTTGTTTTATTTTTATTTTGAAGGCTCCTGAGTAGTCATCACAGCCATATTGTGAATCGCGATGTCAGAAGCGAGAAATGACATGTTAATTTTTATTACATACCATTTATAAATAAAGACAATTTGGATAGCGTAACTTATATTTCCACGTACATGTGCTTTTTGTCACTTTTATTCTCTTTTGGAGGAATTAGTAGATATACAAGAAAATTTATATTTCAAACTTGCACAAAATTAAATATAAAATAAAAAAGTTATGAAATTAATGAATTTCAATAGATAAAAGATAAAAGTTAATAAACCAATTAATTTGATAAATAAAGACGTTAACAGTCGTTAAATTTTTTTGGGAGAAGAGAGACAGAAAAATGATTATAAGACGGCTTCATTTAATGAAATTGCTTCAAAATAGTTTACATTAATTTCTTCACCATCTCCATTAGTTGCATTAGGAAAAAAAAATAGGAAATAAAACTGAATTTCTATCTCTGTTTTGCACAGAGATGATTCTCGCACATACATCGATGTTCCGTTGCCACTGCCATTTTTGATTCGTCATTATGAATTCTAATAATGGCGTCTTTTTTTCTTGTAACGTGAATGATCGTCGCAATTTCTTTTTGAGTTTTTTCATAGTTTCAGGAGTTAATAGGTCGATCATTGCGTTTCGCGCAATCCATGTCAAACGAGGCCGAAAAATTGAATGATTATTATTATCCAAATTTGACTTCATTAAGATATCAAGTGCTGCACTCTTTTTTAATTTTTGCCCGCTAATTAATATTAAAAAAAAAATAAAAGTACTCTCATTACACAATCTGAGTAGAAGCTATTGATTGAGCGTACATAGAACTTGATCGGTTTAGCCCTTATTAAAATTCAATAATCGCAAACTGAGAAAACTCGTTAAGGAACTCGCGTAAAGGAATACGGTAGTGTCGCTGCACTTGTCTTACATAGCGCCGAAACACTACCGTGTTTCCTGATATTTACTAATGTAGGAAACGTTGGACATGCTGTCTGGAGGCGTCTTAACATTTGATAAATAACAAGGATGAAATGATTGCATGAGCATTGCGAGCTTCAAGTGATAACATATGCTTACACTTTACCTATAAAAAAGCAACTGATAGTGCTGCTATGCCTCATAAAGATTCTCTCTTATTTGTTTAGCAAAGGGATATTACATCAATCGCACGTTTTTCTTAAGTGAAAAATTTATTTTTAAAATTTGATACAATTCTACCTTCATTAATTAGTTGAGCAATTATTCAGTACTGATGGTTTTTTAAATATCGCGGCAAAATAGATTGATTATGAGTAATGATATTTTGGAAGCATTTCTGGTGTGTAAGAGTAACAATAAATAAAGTAAAGATTATAATACAAACGAAAAATATTAATAAAATATTTATTTAGTGCATATTATCAATATAATATTAAAATAATTAAAAAATATCTGAGTATCTGTATCCATATATTTTTTAATCTGTATCTGTGTGTATTGAAAGATGATTCTAACGGTCAATAATACTGATCAGTAATATTTAATCAATAATACTGACAATATCAATATTTTTAGTAACCTTATACGATCAGTATTATTGACAATATATTTCACTTTATTTTCACATACATTATCTATTATATTGCACGCGATACTGTGACATAAGATCCTAATAAAGCTACATTGATGCTTGAGAATCAAAATCCAGACCACTAACAGTATTCTACAGCAATATTAAGTACACACGATCAATAATATTGTCAATAATATTTGTTAATACTGACGGTATTATCGACAGTGTAGAATTATCTTTACTTTTATTATCCATATTTATTATAAAAAAGAATGTAAGAAAAATCTCGTTTTAAAAAATGTCATGTAAATTCGATTTACACAATTATAATGGCTTAGTTTACATCGTGCACTCGATACATTAACTTGGGTATTAACTAGTAACATTCTATTGAATTATCTTAACTTCAGCGATACGTGTAAACATATATATATATATGTGTATTTAATTAATCATTTTGATACATATTGTACTAATTTACATCGTTCTTTGAATACATCGTTGAAATTAAAATAATTTAATAGAAAGTTACTAGTTAGTCCGTGTATCAAGTGCACATTGTAAACTAGACCAATGGGATTTATTCAAATAACTATATTATTTGTATTTTGTAAAAAGTTCACGTTTTCATGAAATACAAGTCATTATTTAATTTATGTTATATATTTTTATTATACACGCGTTACATTACATGAAAATTTATATATATAAGTTACGACATACAGCATAATTATAATCAATTAAGCATTTAAGAGTATAGTAAAAAAACTAATATGATGATTGATAATCTATTTTTAAATTTTCAATCACTATATGCTAATAATATGCACTTTCGACCATCTCGGACTTGTACGAAATTATTGAACAAATAACAAAAGAACATTTCGGAACCGCATCCGAATGACGAAAATAATCGATAATATCGGATTTAATTGATCAGTTGTTATGCTGTATGTTGAAATGATTTTTGAAAATATCATGCCGTGTTGTAAAATGTATATAAGATATTTTATATGTTTATCATTATTTAACGTCTATTCTATAATCATAAACTACTAATTTTAAAATTACTGAAATTTTATATTTGTTAAAAATTAATCAAATGTATTTTATATTTTAATGTAAACAATATTAATAAATCAAACAGAATTCTACAAAATTCTTTAAATTCTTTAAATTCTTTATGTTATATTGTCCTACAATCATCATGATTTTCAGAGTAAATTTTAAGAGGAAATTCTCTGCTTTTACTCCACGAAGAATCATTACGAATTACATTTGATTAAGTTCAGTTCATGACCAAATATCGTGTCCATCAAACATTGCGTTTTCCTGTAAAGATCAACAATGTTTTCTCATTCCACTTCGTTGCAAGTTTGTAAGCCGTCGTAATTAATGTGGAAGATACGCGGCAATGATGACTTTGATATTCAAGACGATACAAAATTTCATGGTGTCCAGCTCCATTGAAAACAACGCGTAGGTAACTACCGCGGGAAGACAACACGCTTGCGTTGTTATCGGTTGTTCTTATCGTCTCGCGTTCCTCGTACTTGCACCGAGACGGCTTTTATCTCAACTCACGCCACTCACACACGGGATTAAATGTTCTCGGATACGCCGCACCTTCATTTTTCACGTTTAATTATTTTTTTTTTCATAGTCGATGTCCGATAGTTCAGCAGTACAATGTATATG